ATAGAAACTCAGGTGAAGTGGAACGCAATCCCTGCTAATGTGATCGGTGTGCGGTGTGGTTCGATAGGTGTTGGACGTTTTTTGTTCTTTTTCATTATTGACGGACCAAGTACCATAAACACGTTCGTTTTCGAGTGCATAACTCCTAGCTACGATCGCGGATTGCGCCTTTTAATTAGAATTCACGAGAAGGTGGAAGGTCGAAGAAGGAAAAGCTCACTTATGGTTAGAGAAATGCTGAGGGAGGACTAGACCCCGTGTGGACCGACACACAATTTGCAGTGAAGGATATGCCCTCAGCGATCTATTATGGCCATCTGGCATGGCGCGTTCTTAGAACATCGTGTCCTGCTCAATTCTACTCCTCAACCCCATCTCTTGCAGGTTCTACATCCGCAGTTCTCTGACATCCCGCATCTATTCATTGTAGTTTCAAACTCTACAACCATGAATTTCACTAGAGATTCCTAGCGTATTGTACAAGGTTTTCAGGACAAATCCCGGCCCTACTGCATCTTTTTGTTGCTCTCGATAAGATTATCGCATTTCGATTTATAAACTTGTATAGAGAGCAACCGCTGATCTTCCGTAAAGAGGCCTATGTTGCAATGACAGCTATATTGACTGTCGTAAGTTGGCGTTTTTTCTAGTTGAGATGTTCTGTCATCTGATCGTGGATTTTAAACAAATGAGTCATTTTGCAGTAGATTAGTACTGCAACACGTGAGATATAATTGAACCAGAGGGATAGATTGTACTTTCGTGGGGCATCTTCATGAGTCCTTCTTGAAATGCCCTCATCACAGCAATCACAAGTTGGAAACCAAATAGAAGGGACGTTTCTTAGATGTTTGTTCTGATTTACTTATTTCGATTATCAACTACTGTACTTGGCCGCAGTTTTCCTTCTCCAACCGAGTTCTTGATCCCTATTCTGTTCTATTCGGTAGGTACATGGAAAATAGAACCAAAAGATTAAATTTCTGCGTCAGCTGTAATGAAACTTATGAACGACCGTCAGGAAACTATAGGTTAAGATTAGTAGTAAAACGTGTCAACTTTTGAATGTATCTATTTGAATGCAAATTCCTTTATTTATGAAAATTCAATGAACTCGATCACAATGGAGGATACGGTAACGGTGTTTTTCCACAAACACGTCGAGAGGTAGCCGCCCACGGCACAGTCAGCATTGCTGAGTTATGGTAGCGTTCTTGGAAAGTAATGCTTTGCATCTCCGAACTTGTAACCGGGTGATAAAGGATAAAGGATGATTATTGCCGTTGATCAATCCCTTTTTGGGATGCGGCACGCATTCTACTTCCATTTGTACATTCGTAGTGGCGTTTGAATGCGATGTGGCCTATACAATGACTTGCGGGGGCCAGCCGATGTACAAGTCAGTGTTTATCCTCCCAGACAAGTCTGGTACCAATTAACCGACCCCGGAGGGATGGAAGGCTTGGTTGGCCCGGGCGACTCACGACCCAGGATTTGATCCCCGGACCGCTCGCGTGGTAAGCGCGCCACTTGTCACTACACCACTTCCGCCCTTATCGAGTAAAGCCGAGAAAATTTGTCCATACCTTGTAACTATTGGATTGTGATGCTTATAGCCATCCTCCCAAAGGTTACGGGGCTGGGATTGCAAATTTCCTCGGTTATTCAGTTGGAGTTAGGTGCGAAACGCGTACGTATTCCATTCGTAATCGCGCTGGGTGTACTGACTAAAAGCAACAACCCCAGATGAAGTCGTGTAGAACAAGCTATATTTGGTTGGGACAGAGTTGCACATGAGTATTACAGATGTACCGTCATCGCCACTCAAAGCCGTGCGACAAAGGCATTAGGACTCCACAAAGTGAGTAACAAGTGCAAATAAGAGCCAGTGGGCGAGTTACTTTGCGCACACCCTATGACACGCATTTTGGATACGACTCTGATTTAAATACGCGCGAGGTTAGTGGAGCCATGGAGCAAGCGAGTTCAAAAGACTCGTCCAGACACGCTCTTTCCTCCTTCAACGGAAAGGAAAGGGGTCCCTGTCAAGGGCTCCATCCGCAGTTTCCTTCCGTTTTTTTTCTTATTCAGTTAACTCGGCATCTACGCCTTCATTATTGACCGCTGTTATCCAGCCAGTGTTATGTGGGATTTTTGCTTTGACTGAACCTGAAGTCTGATTACTTCTGAAACGAATTTCCGTATATTGAATTACAGTAATGGTGTCGAGGCTCGAGGCTTGAACAATCGAAGGCAGAGCTTGCGTTAGAAATCAACTCATTAGAATACATCAGAGGTGATCAGTACTGCCGAAGTGAAGAAGATCTCATGAGAAACGGCGCAAAAAACGAGTAATGAGATCCTTTCCTTGCCCTTTGCTTTTCGCATTGATGAAACTGTCATCGTTGCTCCCTCTTGAACGCTAGCGCTCTCTCCGCTAAGCGGGTAGAGATCTACAGAGGTTTGCCAGTCGGTGGGCGTGCCGCGCAGATAGCGGCGCGGGTATGGCCATGCTAGATCACCAGAGGCATATTCTTACCTGCAGTTGGTCCGCACCCTTGGGGGTTCGCCTGTCCTTCCACTAGGCAACTTTCCCCTTCTTCGACCTTCCACCTTATCGTGGACTCCCCCTTTAAGGCAAATTATGCGATTGAATAGTTGCGGGTTATTCAGCTCAGGAACAAAATGGGCATGAAAATGAATAAGCGAACCGAATGTTCCTCCAAAAGTGGGGCTATATTTCTCAAAGAAATAGGTGATATCAGATTTCCACAAATTTTCCAAGTGGTCAGTTTCTAGCTCTTTGAATTGCGTGGCTATGAATTAATGTAGAAATCTGAATAGCGCTTATTGTGTTCATAATTATTGCTCAGTAATTAATTACGTGGCTGCTTACTGCCTCTTAATGTGACTGTATTGACTTGCAAAATTGTAATTCTCAGCCACATCACCGTATCTCTGGGTAGTTACTATTTCTTTTTCAGTTTTTTGTTATTATCGCTATCATAATAAACATATATCACCCATATGTGAACACGAATCGAATGTGTGCGGTGATGAACTCTACTGGAATTTACTACGGCACGGTGCACTTTTCCCTGATTGCTATTTGTTATCTATTTTGTTTTATCGTATTGTGGTATTTATTTCCATAAAATCAACCGAAGTCGAGTGAGTCTAACACGAGCCATCTGTGCCAGTATTAGTCATTTTTCTCTGGAGAGATTGACGTCGTCTATTCGAGTTTTTATTTAGTTAATGTCAAAGTGATAGAATTCCAATAACTGTATCAGTTAAACTTTGCACACATTAACGCGACGCCTCATTGGCTCTTTCAGCTAGTCTTTAAAAGAATATGAAATCATAAGTTCCGAGCCGCTCAGTCATTCCAGTTATGGCACGATACGTAAAGATTAGGTTTAATGGTTCTCGCTAACTAGCAATTAAATTGTGTGTGATTTTTCCCCATTGGCGAAGAGATAAAGGACGTGAAATGTGGATCATTTTCCTCTTCTTCTTCTGCTCCCTAGCATTTAGTCCTGCGCAGTCGTCAGGCAGGTCAATCCTACGTTGTTACTAGCTTAAACAACGAGGGGGGGCGGTCCGTATCCTTGGTTTGAGCTCTCTATTGAGGGGGTTCGATATACCGCTTCAGTCGCGGAAATCACATTGCTTGAGCGTCGGTGGCGAAAAGCTGGAGTTTCCACGTCGCCGTATGTTAAAGCTATGGTGAGTAGGGCTGAGAGCCATTGGTGAACACACATTTTCGCCGTTTCAAGCGTCAGCGCCTGCGCAATACCCCCCCCCCCACTCGACGCATTTTGGGAGAAAAAGTGGCGCGACTTTGGTTGTAGAGTGGCGATCATAATTAAATACTATAGGATCGATGAATGTGGTCGAGGTGTTAGAAATAGGTCCGAATGGTGGTGATCAAGTCCATCCGCCTATTGGGTCGACAGCGCGCCGGGCCGGCGCGCGCTCGGCCGCGCGCGGGCGCGCGGCCGGCCGGGCGCCGGGGCCCCGCGGCCGGCGGCCGGGGCGCGCGGCGGGCGGGCCCGGCGGGCCCGGCCCCCGGGGTGGCGGCGGGCGCGCGGGCGGGCCACGCGGCGGGCGCGGGCGCGCGCCTGTCGAAATTTTTGAAAAAGTAACAACGATACGACGTGACCTGGTCGCAGGGCACTGTCTTATGCAGCCGTCGCGCTGTGCTTCTACCACAGGGCGTCTTTTGCTGTGACCCCACCTCAGTTGAGGTCCTTCTTGATGACGTCTCTCCACCTCTTCTTTGGCTCCTCGCGGTCGCTTGCCTTGCACTTCGAAGTCCATCGCTGTTCTTATCGGATGATCCTGTGGCCTCCTCAGCACATGCCCATACCATCGCAGACGCTGTTCCTCGTACCTTCAGCTGGACAGGAGCAGTCTGCATGACCGCTCTGACATCCTCGTTTCTGACTCTGTCCAGTCGCGTCCAGCCGCATGTCTTAGACTTCACGCGGTGTTGATCCAGCAACCATGCCAGTTCAGCGTGGAAAATTCCCATTGAGACATTGGCAATTCGCCATGGTCGAAGGTCGAAATGATGAGCATACTTCACATTGTCTGCAAAACTCGCCCTTTACGTGAGCTTGAACCTCTGATGCGACGTCCCATGAGTGGAATCGTTACGGCTGCACTAAGGAGTCCTATTTATCAATGTTGAAAGAGCTGAGAAAAGGGAGGCCCATGAATGTTGCAGTTTTCGACCTCCCGCAATTTCGATCCCGTGACCGTAGGCGCTGCACCATTGACATATCAGTGCAGACTCTTCCCTTTCCCTTTCCAATACCGTGCTTTGACCTACGCAGACCTGGCAGTTTGAATGTGGCCATCTCTAAACATCCTCCGGAGGACTTTTTAGAGATGGACGCATTCAGGATGGTAGCATGCCTGTGTCCCCACTCCTCACGCACTATTGTTAGTTACTGCCGCCATCGCTATTAGTTTTTAAAGCTGCCAATCCTCTTACAGCCACTTGATGTGATCACCCCGACTTCCGAGTGAGTTCGAACTCACTTCGACTATTCTGACGGGGAATCTTCGGAGGGGTTCCAGAGGTGCTCTACGCATCTTTTAGGGAGACATGGATGGAAGCCATCACCAGGTTACCACGAGCTCATGGTCACATGGTAACTGCAGCTTAGGCCAAATTACTACCGTCCCCCGTCCTAGCAACTATTTGATTACTCCTCATTCGCTATTCTTTACCCACTTTTCCCAGCTTCTAGAGCTTCTTGCAACAGAGTTATGAATTATTACACTAAGTGGAACTTAGTTTAATGCACACTTCATCCGTCGTGACAGGGCCAGCTCACCTTTGACTCCTGAGGACGTCTCAGAACGTAGATATGAATCCTTGGATCAAGTGCCGCCCAAGCAAAGGAAGTTACGCCTATTGCGGATGGGTTTGTTTTATCTCATCCACCAATGAGCTGTGCGCTTTACCCATAATCCGATGTCTGGGCAGTTTTGAAAATGAACTGGGAATTTTTGATTTGGCCACCGCCCATTTCGTTGCAACGCAGTTCGAAAGTCTTCACATTTTGCACGACCAGCAGATATTGAAGTGTGGCTGTCGTCTGAAATATTGTTATTATTAACCCATTGCGGACCGCCGTTATAATTGCACCTCCGTAGGTTTTTGTCATCTCTTTTATCAGTGGCCAATAATCTATCAAAATTTAACCAGTATGCAAATATATGATATATCCTGTGTCCAAAAAAGTAAACTGATGATTTTGTAACTTAGCAAAATGCTGAAAAAATCGAAGATTACTATCCTTCTCCGCGTGGTGGCGTGCTGCACATGGTGCAGCACGCGGTCCGCAATGGGTTAAAAAAATTGTACAGTTTTTCTTT